TGGCGTTGCCCACGTACTGGATGTGACTCGTGTGATTATGCCATCACGCTCCATTTTCTCAAGGGCCTGTAGTACACCACCTCGTTGGCCGTAGGGGATTACACGTCGTTTCAGGAAAATGGGTCCACCATCAACTTTCAGTTTGTCCGGCTGTACGTTCATACCTCCTGTATTATTGGAACATTTCACGATCAGGCGCTGTAGACGGGTATGCATATTGGACATAGCTTGTATGGAACGACAGAATGGTTCAATTCACGAATGGCGGTTAGGCCAAGTATGGATGGACTGTTTTTGGCAATTAGGAAGCGAATGGGAACAAGACGATTTTCTGTCGAATGTACCACCAATGAAACCTCACCTATCAATGGCAATTTGTGTCCAGTCACACCAAGGATTCGCACGGATGTCGGATGGATTTCGGCTTGGGGACAGATCGACCGAAGCACGGCAATGGAAATGATAGATTCCGTGCTTCCCGTGTCAACAATGAACTTGTGCGTTGTGCCGGACTGTAATGTCACATCTGTGTATAGGAATTGGGTGCATTGGATTTCGGATCGTAGAGAGAGCACAAGATTTGTGTCATTCGCAGCAGCTGGCTGTGCAAGAATGTAGTAGTAAGTAGTAGTTAGTTTATTGGAAGAAATGAGAGCGATTAAATAATATGTACAAAAGAAGATTATTGGTTGTCTAGGCCTCCACCAATCGAATTGCAGTACTGCTTGCATAATTCTGCTTCTGTCTGCACTGTCTTGGATTGGCTGGCNTGGCACCATCCACCAATGACGTGTATTCAGAAGCCATGCGCGTGTCATTGACGTCAGTATTCAAATTTAATTGATCGCAAATGTCCTGAAACTGTAACGCACCGCTCCAGAGTAGGCGTCATCACGTAGGCCTGGATGACAACAAAATTGAAGAGGAACGACGATAGAGGGCACCCTTGACGGACGCCGCTGCTGATGACGAACGGTCTACTTAGTTCGTTGTATACCCTTGCACGACCGGAGGTATGTAAATACAGTGACCTCAGTAGGTTAATGTACGTCTGGGGCATTCCTTTTCGGGGAAGGGAGCCCATCAGAGCTTCACGGTCAACTGAGTCGACGGCTCCTTAGAGGTCAAGGAATACTGCGATCGTTGGCCGACGGTGGGNGACGCAGCTCAAGGATTTGACGCAACGTAAAAATTTGATCAATACATCCACGGCCAGGCCGGAATCCGGCTTGCTGTTCACGGATGTTGGACTATCTTAAAGACGTCAGGAGTCGAAGTATAACCGAAGCTCGCACTTTGGTGACGATCAGGATTAAACTTATCCTGCGCATATACGAGAATTTCTTCATCATATAGTGTTCTGCACCTTTGAAGGCGGATGATGGTAAGCCGCTTGAATCCTGGCCTGGTGGTGCCTGGGTAATGTGTGCTGCGACTTTCAGCATGTTGAGGGTGAGTATCATTGAGCACTACATGTTGACACAGGTCGGTGGAAGTGTGAATCAACGTGAATCTATCAACCCGTCTTTCCACACCCCGATGAAGAATACATATTACTAAACTGAATTCAGTTAGAACCCACACTGCATTGCAAATGAACCTCCACAGGAATACACGTAGTCTGAGAAAAACAAACATCCGTCATTTGTGTCAGAGAAACATCCACCGACCGATGACATGAATTCGGAAACGAAACATAATGGCTGAATAGTGATTCGGATCACATTAAAAATAAACCCTATCCTACTTTATTTCACTGAGTAAGCCCATTTATTTAATCACAACACAGCAGGTGAACTTTTTTCGGTAAGTTCGTCCTCAAACCATAAGAATAACACTTAGAGATGGAGACTGCTATTTGACAACCTGCGAGAGCGATCCGATCTCTATTCTCCCGTGTTTCTCGATAGCCCGGTAGGTATTTAGAAGAACGACCGATCAGTCAAGGGAAAGTATATTGTTCCCTGGAGGTACCGGAAGTTTAGCCTGGCTACGCTCGAGTGTCTGAAAACAAAGAGCTTAGCGAGCGAAAGTGTAACATTGAACTCACGCACCGATTAAAGTGAAGTTACTTCACCGGAGGTAGCAGTGACTTAAGCAAAGATGAAAGACCTAGCTGAAGCGAAGATCCTGGCAGAATCTACGCTAGGAGGATGCATGAACGAGATGCTCCAAGCAACCACTGCCTGCAACCACGCGAAAGCATACATGCGGAACAGGCAGACCAAAGATGGTGACGACTCTGGAGCATGTTACACTGTCGGTCTGAAGCCACTACATCTATATAATTAAAAAAGCTGAACATAATCGTCAAATCGCGGGTCAGAGGCATCTTCAGCCTACTCTGGTGACTAGCATCAGGACAGGTTCAGTTTCTAGCCACTAGTCCTGTATAATTGAGGACTACCAAGACACGGTTTCGTAACCATGACATACCCATCAGAACCATGGAGGATCACCTATCAAGTAACGACTCAGCCCGTCGGTTGCCATAAAAGCTAGACCACCGTTAATCTTTTCCCTCTATCATAAGGACCCTTCTTCTTTACTGGGCACAATCAAGTGTACCGTCGTGTTTCAGCACATATCGCCCTTATTTGACGATAGTGATCTAGAGAAAGTTTCTTCACTAGATACAGCAACTTGGGCATTTCAAGGATTAAGTTTTGCTTTAACTATTATCGTGCTTTTGATGAGCTCGAAAAGACCGCATCGGCACGATTCTCCACGGTGAGCTTTGTAGTGTACGCCTTCCTTGCATTGATCAGATCTACTTTTAGGTCTCCCCTGCCGTTCCTATAATAACAGCCTAGGCATAACCAAACTTACTTCCAACCTTTCGGAAGTTTCACAATATATCGTTTCTACAGTCTCAATCATTGGTTCTATTTCCTCCCGGGACGGATATCCAGGACGAATGTGAGCAAACATTAGTGACAGGTTCTGACGAATATCAACGACTACCTAGTCACTAAATTGGTGAGCCTACATTTAACGACTTCACTTCATTTTGGAAATCATCACATTCTGACGAGTTCGTTCCATATCTTTGGAATTTTTGTACCATTTCTATTCGTTTAGAAAATTTTAGCGACTTTTTGATATTTTCACTTTACCATTATTCCTATTCGAGACATGGTCCCTCTACCTTTTGTTCTCAAGGATGAAGGACAGCTCAGTCCAGTTCAGTCTGCATAGGACAGAATGGATCCAGAGCAGTCATCTGGTCACATCTTTCTGCTGCAAATTAGTTACCTTAGGTTCTAATTGCGAGTGATTTTTTTCGTTCTGCTTCCTTCTAAAAGAATCTACAGGTACGCTATTATATTTATTATTTTATAATTATACTTCACACACGTCTGACGCCAGACTATGTGCCAAACAATTGTTTGGCACCAGGATTTAAATCATGGTATAATAGGCTTGTGTAACGACCTTGGCAACGTGCCCTTAAGTTTGAGTGTGAGCCCAAGTAACACCGTGTAGCGCACCGATTAGGTCAGGTCAGGTCAGGTAACACAGGACTGAATATGGCCACAGCCAATCGAGCGTCCAGATTTCCTTCGATGGTATGTTCACAACGTGGGCACCCAGCTCTACTGAAATAAAAATGAGAAATAGGACCTCATCTCGCCAAGTTGGGGAGTGAATTATTAGACGCGAGCATTCCATGCGTGTACCAGTAAAAAGGAAAAAGGCATCCTAAACATTTGGCACACCTACATTCGTCTTGAAGTCTCGTCTTAAAGTCTTGAAGTGATTCACGGGTTTGAGGCTGTTGCCCAAATATCCCGGGTCCTTGAAAGGTATCTGTGTTTTCTGTTGCTTCGCATTTCTTCTGGAACAGAGAGTAATGAAAAGGCATCAGTAGGGTTCCCCGCTCGAGGTGAGAAACAAAATGAAGACTTGCAAACTCTCATATAATTCAAAATGTTTTTTTCTTTTATTGGGGGTGAGCAGATAAATCTAAGTGGTGGTCAAGACGAAGTTTGAGGACCGCCCTGCTGGCAGCGCTGACTATCTCTTCTGGAAGGGAATTCCATAAAGATATCACCCTGAAGGTAAAAAAATGAGAGTGGTTCTCGGACGGTGCTTGAAGATTCTTTTGCTATGACCTCGGGTAGGCTGAGAGTCAGCAATGACAAAAAAGGATCCGACAGTACCCGTATGGAAGAGATGGTAGAGGAGAAATAGGTCTTCCCGAATGCATCTGATTTCTAGCTCATAAAAGCCCAGTTGTTGGAGCCGCGTTGGATAGGGGAGGTCTCTATGTCCCTATGGATTTTGTAGTGGCTCTCTGTACGCGCTCAAGGCAGTCACGATCTCGGATGAGGCCAGAGTGTGCAACTTGGCTTCCGTATTCTAAGAGAGGGCGGATGTAAGTTCCGTAAATAAGAGGGAAGTCGTCCTTCAGAATACGGGGGAAACATCTTTTGATGAGGTTCATGACTCGAAAAGCGGTCTTACTGGCTAGATCGTTATGATAAAAGGAAGACAGATTGCTGTTTAACCAAAAACCATGAACCTTTTATTGGTCCACTTGGGGTAGTAGGTGGGAACCTTCTATCGTAAAACGGTGAGATGGGTGACCATTGAACGACATCCCAACACACTTGTCACTGTTGATTGGAAGATTCCAATCCAATGAACAGCCATTGGTAGCATCAATTGAGGCCTGTGAAAGAGAGGCGTCTGTATCCCAGATGGTGACATCATCGGCGTACAGCGCAATCCTTGATGACAGTACATCGGGTAGGTCATTTATATAAATGAGGAAGAGAATGTGTCCTAGGACAGAACCTTGGGGAACACTGGTCGGAATTGGGCTGGGCTGTGATGAGGATTTGCCAACACGAACAGCAAATGAGCGATTTGAGAGGAAGCTTCGAATAAGAGTAAGCAAGGGGTCTACAATACCAAGTGCCGCAAGTTTGTGGAAAAGGGGGATGTGTGGAACCTTGTCAAAAGCCTTCGCGAAGTCAATGAAAACGGCATGAGAGATGTTGCCGGAGTCGTATGCTTTAGTCATGCTATCCATGACAGTCAGCATATTGGTGACGCATGACCTGCCAGGTAGAAAACCGTGCTGGAAACGAGAGAGGAGGTTATTGGTACTAAGATGTTTCCGGATTTTGTCTTTTATTAGACGCTCGAAAATTTTACTGGGGATGCTGGTTAGGGAGATTGGACGGTAGCTAACAGGGAAGTGCCTACCGCCCTTTCGTCTTTCCAACTTGTGGGAAAGATTCCCTCGTCCATACTGCGTTGGAAGAGAAGGGTGTACAGTGCAGGTAGTACATCGGCTGACTCCACCAGTAACCTAGGACCCATGGAGCAATACGGATTAATGCTTCGGAGTCTCCTTTCAACCTTATCCTGTGAGAAACGGATGGATCCTAGGTAGGAATTTGTATCCAGAGGCTGCAGAATGGGGTGATCGAGCACCGGAGGGAAGTTGAATGTTTTCTGGAAGTGTGATCGGAAGGTATCCGCCACCTCTGCTGGGCATGTGGCAATCGATACGTCTGGATTAGTGAGAGCTAACGGGCACAGAGAGGGCTTACCCAAGCTACGGATGTATTTAAAGAAGAAAGGCTTATTGTTTAAAGCCGTGAGGCGAGTATTCATAAATCTTGCAAAAAGCTTGGCTGTTGTATCTAACAACCGGCGAATCGGGCGAGTGAGAGGGGGGTTGGCATTAGACGGGATTTGAATTCGGGGAACAAATTGCGAGTCTGCAAGAGAGATCACCTGTTCTATGTGCCT